GAGGACAACCCTGAAGGGGCTCCAGGAATCCGCACAACAGGAGCGGCCTCGGAGGAGAGAAGCGCGGCCGATAGGGCCTCGGTGACAGAGGGGAGCGCGGCCGATAGGGCCTCGGTGACGGAGGTGGAGATGGTCGGTCACAGACAGGCGCAGCCCGGCGCCGGGGGTTGGAATGCCCCGAAACGGCGTTTTTAGCATCAGATGGGGCCTGCTGGCGCTATGACAACGAGTCGGGCCAGGCAGAAAGACGAGGGATGCCTAGAGGCTGGTGTTCCGGAAGAGGAACTTAAGGAAAAATCCCTTCCCAGTGAGGGTGCCAGAGCCCTGGAACAGGCTGCCCAGAGAGGTTGTGGAGGCTCCTTCTCTGGAGATCTTCAAACCCGCTTGGACGCAGCCCTGTGCCACGTGCTCTAGGTGACCCTGCGTGTGCAGGGGGTGGACTAGGTGATCTCGAGAGGCCCCTTCCAACCTTCAGCATTCTGTGATTTTATGACACCCGAAACGCCTGCCGCACACACCACTCATCCTAAAGAAACAACCGTACTAGATGGCCGGGCAGCACGTACACGCACAGACTGAGACAGCCCAACGCCTCCAATCCCTTCACTTACCTTTCCCAGGGCTCCGGGTCACCGCAGGGCTTTGGAGCCCTCCTCGACTGGCGGACGCGTCTTCTCCCATCTTATTGCAGACGCCCCGTTCCCCTCCGTCGCCTGCCAAACCGCAGCACAAGTGGTCACCCCCGGAACGGCCACCTCCGGCCTCAACCACAGAAACGCTCTGTCCCGCAGTATTGCTGCCATTCTGCTCACCGGCACTGTGTCAGGGCCTCTGGTATCGGGCTGTGATGACACCTGGAGCAAACACACACAAAGTGACTCATCCATTGCACTGGGGTCACTACAGCTAGATCTAGTGACACCCCATTCTATCCAGTCACTCTGCCTCACCTCAAATCACAGGATCACACAGAATCACGGAATGGTTGAGGTTGGAAGGGAGCTCTAGGGATCATCTAGTCCCTCAGCCATGGATGGAACTGGCCCATGCGGTACCTGGAAAAGCAGAGGAAAGGCAAACCACCGAGAAGCAGCTCAACAATATTGGAACGAACAAAAAGAAACAAGCAAACAGACGCTCAGATGCCCCTCTCACCTGTTCAGGCTTGTTGTGTCCACTCAGCTTCTCTGAACAACCACAAACAACATCTACAAGCACTGAGAGAACAGCAATGCTCGAGGGGATGACAAAAAAACCCCAAATAAAACAAAAAAAGGGGGGACAACCCCCCATAGGGAAGGCGCCGCTTGCTCGCACAGAGCGACGACCCGCTCTCCGCATGACTCGACACCTACGGACACGAAGCAAAAAGCCCTCGGGAAAGCCTGTGGCCCAAAGCACTCTCCATCAACTCGCCAGCTCCTCTTCTCTTTAGGGCAGGACCCTTTCCTGCTCCAGCTCTTTTGGGAACCCCTGGGAACACTACTCTGCATCTCAAAAGCAAACTAAAAGCCCACCAGCCCGACCAAGCAATCCTGACGCCTCCCCAAAATACATTAATACGTCAGGTGCGTCACAGTTACGACGCTTGGAGGAAACGAAGCTGGAAACAGACACACAGACAGACGAGACACGGACAGACCGTAACCCCAGCCTCAACCCCAACCTAAGCCCATGTCCCTAACCCCAACTGTCTAACCCCTAATCCCAACCCCTAACCCTAATCCCTAAATCCTAACTCTAAACCTAACCCCTAACCTAACTCTACAACCCTAACCCTAAATGGCCCTAACCCTAACCTTTCCCCTAATCACAATCCCTAACCCCTAAACCCTAACTCTAACCCTAACCCTAACTCCTGAACACTAAACCCTAACTCTAACCCCTAAACCCTATTTCTAACCCTAACCTAACCCTAACCTAACCCTCTAACCCTAACCCTAAATGGCCCTAACCCTAACCCCTAACCAAGGGGGTCGTAAGGCCAAGGTCGTAAATCAGTCACTGTCACCACTTGCCTCTTGACGTCATCTTTAACAGTTCATCCCCAGTGAATGATTAGCTCATTAACAGTTAATTCGTTGATTGAATGGTTGTTTCATTAACAGTCCCTCCCTAGTAACTAACAAGTCCAAACGAGTTGTACAAATGCTGGACGAAGCGGGTCCCCAAAGGGCCTTTTGCTGCATTTTCTCAGTCACACAATCCCAGAGTGGCCCAGGCTGGCAGGGCCCTCCAGGGATCATCCCGTCCAGCCCCTGCTCCAGCAGGGACACCCAGGGCACAGGGTCCATCCAGGCGGGTTGGAGATCTCCAGAGGAGCCTCTGGGCAGCCTGTGCCAGGGCTCCGGCACCCTCATGGGAAAGGAGCTCTTCCTCACATGGAGATGGAGCTTCCTGGGTTTCAACTTGCACCCGTTACCCCTCGTCCTGTCACCGGCCACCACAGAGAAGAGCCTGGCCCCGTCCTCCCTACGCTCTCCCCCCAGGTGCTTCAACATGTAGGACATGTTGGTCAGACCCCCCTCAGCCTCCTGTTCTCCAGGCCGGGCCGGCCCCGCTCGCTCAGCCTTTCCGTGTGACAAACGCTCCGGTCCCTTCGTCCCCTCCGCAGCCCCGCGCTGGAGGGGTCGCCTGGTGCAGGGGGCGTAGCCAGGCTAGGGACATCACGAGAGTCCCTGGGGGTCCCCACAGACACCACAGCCAGGCTGGAGACACCAGGAGCGTCCCCAGGGGGTCCTCCTGGGAACCACAGCCAGGCTGGAGACACCAGGAGGGTCCTCATGATGTCCCCACAGGCACCCCAGCCAGGTTGGGGACACCAGGAGCGTCCTCAGGGGGTCCTCCTGGGAACCACAGTCAGGTTGGGGACACCAGCAGGGTCTGCATGGGCACTGTAGCCACCACAGAGGAGAGGGACACCCCCAGGAGGGTCCCCAGGGGTTCCCATGGGCACCCCAACCAGGCTGGGGACAGCAGCAGGGTCCCGCGGTGCTGTGGGAGGGGGGGTCTCACCTCATAGACCTCGTCCCAGGTGGGGTTGAGATCGTCGTCGATGACACGGCTGGGGACGAGCTGGGGGCCCACGCGCAGCCCGGCGTCGGGGGCGGGATTGG